ACCATGTTTGCTCTACAATTTTCAGTGTCTAGTACACTTAAATCAGATTTACAAAAGGTTTTTCATGTAAATTCCATTAAAGTATTACAAATAAAACAATTTAAATTATAATGAAAACTTTTTCTGGTTGTAATAATACATATCAACCTCTCATATCAATTCAGACATCTTTTAGCTCTATGCAGAATTTCTTTTTTTCAGCCCATGCCCTCTAAAAAAAAGGTTAAGTTGCATTATAGGAGAGTTTTTCAAGCATGGGGCCGATTGAGTACAAAGTTTCCTTGTGCCCGGAGTGGTGAATAGTCTTAACCAGCTGCCTCTGAATAGAGTAAGTGTTGGGCTAACAAAGTTTATTAATAGTACTACACACATTCATCTCATCACTGTACACCTCTGTTAAAATAAGATGTCTTAAACACATCATCTACACGTGGTGGAATATAAATTGCTCAAATTTAATGAATTGCTCAAATTCTGTTTAAAATTTAAAACATGTTTTAATGTACTGCTACCATTATTGAACAAACTATATTTGTATAAAAAATTAATTAGCATTGAATGAAAAGGGTTTTTTAATTAATTTTTTAAACAGTTTTGGCTTTTAGCAATTTAAAATTAAAGTCCACATTTTATTGCATTTCTTGTCTGAGTTAACCCCTGAAAATTAAGTCTAGTAAATAAGATAATATGTCACTTATAGAAATAGCACAAAATAAGGTGAAAGTAATGAAAGAGTAAGCATAACACAAAACATTCATTTTCATGCTCAGTAAGAAATTTTTTTTGGTAACACTTTCTTTAGTGATTTAGTCATCTTTGAATTAAAAGGAAAACTTCACTATTAAAAGTTTTATTATTTTTATGAGTATTTCCTGGATATGTTTTTGCTATTTTAAAGGTTGAAACTGGTCTCTAAGCAATGGTGAGGAATATTTTCTACAACTAAATTTATCTGTAAATTGATACTGTGCATAAAACTCCCAACCCAAAGTAATATCATGGAAAATATTTTGGGATCCAAAGAATATTATAAAATTCTATGTTAAATAATAATTATATTTAGAAAATTATCATTAGCTATAATTCTTTTTAAACACATTTTACCAGACTTCCTTAACGCTTTACAGATACTAATAAAATTTAATGTGATTTTCACTAATCATTAGAGAAATGCAAATCAAAACTACAATGAGGTATCACCTCACACCAGTCAGAATGGCCATCATCAAAAAATCTAGAAACAATAAATGCTGGGGAGGGTGTGGAGAAAAGGGAACCCTCTTGCACTGTTGTTGGGAATGTGAATTGATACAGCCACTATGGAGAACAGTATGGAGGTTCCTTAAAAAATTAAAAATAGAACTACCATACGACCCAGCAATCCCAGTACTGGGCGTATACCCTGAGAAAACCATAATTCAAAGAGTCATGTACCACAATGTTCATTGCAGCTCTATTTACAATAGCCAGGACATGGAAGCAACCTAAGTGTCCATTGACAGATGAGCGGATAAAGAAGACGTGGGGGCTTCCCTGGTGGTGCAGCTGTTGGGAGTCCGCCTGCCGATGCAGGGGGCGCGGGTTCGTGCCCCGGTCTGGGAGGATCCCGCGTGCTGCGGAGCGGCTGGGCCCGTGAGCCATGGCCGCTGAGCCTGCGCGTCTGGAGCCTGTGCTCCGCAGCGGGAGAGGCCACAGCGGTGAGAGGCCCGCAAAAAAAAAAGAAGACGTGGCACATATATACAATGGAATATTAGTCAGCCATAAAAAGAAACGAAATTGAGTTATTTGTAGTGAGGTGGATGGACCTAGCATCTGTCATACAGAGTGAAGTAAGTCAGAAAGAGAAAAACAAATATCATATGCTAACACATATATATGGCATCTAAAAAAAAAAAAAAAGAAAAGGTTCTGAAGAGCCTAGGGGCAGGACAGGAATAGAGACGCAGATGTAGAGAATGGACTTGAGGATGTGGGGAGGGGGAAGGGTAAGCTGGGAGGAAGCGAGAGAGTGGCAAGGACATATATACACTACCAAATGTAAAATAGATAGCTAATGGGAAGCAGCTGCATAGCACAGGGAGATCAGCTCAGTGCTTTGTGACCACCTAGATGGGTGGGATAGAGAGGGTGGGAGGGAGATGCAAGAGGGAGGGGATATGGGGATATATGTATATATATAGCTGATTCACTTTGTTATAAAGCAGAAACTAGCACACCATTGTAAAGCAATTATACCCCAATAAAGATGTTAAAAAAAATTAGTGTGATTTTATATAATCTCTTTGAAGTGGATGAGAAGCCATTTGTACAACTAAGGTAGGGAGAATATGAACATCTATTAGATGAATATAAAAATACAGAGCAAATCAGTAATGAAAGTTGTTTACAAGCCTGAGATATCTAAAGAGCTAACTTCTGATCCACTTCCTATATTTCACTGTTATGTAAAAATTGGAAGTTTGCTTTCTCAGGTCTACTAAGAAGAGAATCATTTGCAAAATATCATGGAATAAGGTAGAAAAGGAACCTAAGCTAAGAGCCTAAGGTGTACTGGCAGAGTAGCCTGCTTGGCTGCATTGGGTAACTAGAAATTACAGATTCCCTGTAATACCTGCCTGGTGCAACGTGCTCCCGGGGACCAGCAGAGGTTCTCAGCCTTGGTTTAATGCTTACAATCACCTGGGGAGCATTCAATAAAATGCGGCTGTCCAGAACACACCTGAGAGTCCCTAAGGGTATGCTCAGGTGTCCATTTTTTTTAAAAAATCGCCATCTTACTCCACCACCTGATTTTAATGCTCAGTGATTAGATGTTGGCTGATCGTTCGTTGGGAACCATTTATTTTCACTCTTTGTAAGTGTTCGACTGGGCCTGGTGTTCAAATGTGAGCCTCATGTTCAGATGCCCAGGTACAGAAAAGAGGTTAGAGTGGAAACAATAGCGGCACGCAATTCTCTGAAAAACAGAAAAGAAACACCCCTTAACAATGTTGAATAACTAAATTAGATTCTAAAATGAAAGGAATTGCAAAGCACAGTCTCTTTTTCTTTTACTTCTTATAAAGGCTTGAGTTCCTAAGACTTATATTTTATTCTTGAAGAGGAATGTGGAAGAGGTGAAGCAGGATCATGGGAGTGGGGGGCCGGTTTAAGGGGACAGAGACTCACCGGCCTGTGTGCTTTCAGGTTGTGCCCCAGGGAGAGGGATCCTGCCCAATTTCAGGTAATCAGTGAACTAGTTTTGAATGGAGAAATGACTCTGGACTGGAAATGTCTTGTGATTAGAGAAAAGAGCCTGTCTCTCTGAATTTTGGGGTGGCATTTTATTTGCCGTTATTAATTTATTTCCTCTTTTAAAAATTGCAAACGTAAAGCCACATAGAAAGTGGCTGCTGGTCTGTCTCCTTTATATTGTACTTAACCACAAAGCAACCCCCTCTCCGGACTGACTACAGGAAGTATATGTGGAAACTTTTTGAAAACTAAGTGTTGTGCAAACATATTATTAGCATTAGTTGTGTACATGTCAGTCTCTCCTTGCTAGTTTTCGCTCATTCATCTCTTTATTCCCAAAATCTAGCTCCTAATAGGCAGCTAATAAATATGAGTGACATTTAAAAAAGAAAAGGAAAAAACACTGATTTAGATACAGCAAAAACTGAAGGCTTTCTTTCTGCAAATACATGCCCCTTCCCATGTATTAAAGATACTGTGTATCTTTAAAAATCTTTTTCTGCAAAGACAGAAACAGAGCTTATATTTTTGTTTCTGTACTTTGATGGAGCTATATTATTCTGCGGCTTTCTGTTATTTATGATATACCTGGATATTTTTAACATCGGTGTTTAAACATTGTCCTCAATTTCTAACCACTGAAGAATAGTCTGTAGTATCCACATAATGACATTTATATGGCCATCTCCCTATTGATGGGCATTTGTGTTTGTTTTATTTGTTTCTTTGTTTTTGCATCCCGTATTTGAATAGTTCTATAAAATAGATTCCTAAAAATAGAATTTCCTGATTTTAAAATCATATATAATTTTTTGGTATGATACCAAAGTGCCCTCAAAAAAAGCCTGTGTCAGTATCTACCACCCAAATAGTGTGTGATAATACCCACTCGCACATCTTACCAGGCCTGGGTACCATTACATTTCTTTCTTTCTTTTGTTAAACTACATTTAATGGAGAAAATGACATTTTATTGTTATTTTACATGTTACTGTATACTTTCTGAACACTGTACCTAAGTCTAAAATATATATTTTAATCTAAGTGGCAACTAATGTATATAATTTACAATATATCAAACTGCTCTTTCTATTTTTCTAAATTTCTGTTAAAGTATAATTTTGATGTTTAAGTATTTTTCCTATATATCATAATTTATATTACTGTAATCCTATTGTTGAACATTTAATGTCTTTCCAATGCCTCACTAATATAATCACATCAGTGAAAACCCTTGTACATGTGTTGTTTTCTCTTCTTTATGAATAATTTATTAAAATAAATTTCAGATAGTGATATTACTGGGTCAGAATTTTAACTCTTTTTATGATTCTTGATAAGAATTGTTAAATTGCTTTACACAAGAGATAGGTCATGTTTTATGATCATCAAGAGCATATTCCTACTATAGCAGATTCTTGACTATCTGAAATACGTTAGATTTATTATTCTAAATTTAAATAATTTATATAAATTTACTTTTATAAATTGTACTTAATGGATTATATACACAGAGAATGCTGAGGTATATATTTATATTTTTCATGTTTAAAAATGCTTACTTTATAATGCTAACTGAAAGCAACAGGACACAGAATGAGGTATAAATTAAATATGTAAAATTATATATACCTCAACAATAGATCAATTTAATTTAATTTTTTAGACCTCTTTGTTTTTCTCCTAATTAATCACAGTGTGTATTACACCAGGGCTGAATGTCCTCCACTATTCCTGGGGTCAAAAGATCTGTCTTTTTCTTTTAGGAAATTTACCAGTGGTGTGGATCCTCTTGTAACAAATATGAGCGTCTGAAGGCCAGCCAGGTTGCCATTGGCATTCGGGACAATGAAAGGAAAGGAAGATCTCAACTAATTGTGGTGGAAGAAGGGCATGAACCATCAGAGCTTATAAAGGTATTGAAAGCTTGCCACTCTAAGTTTTGTGTGTGTTAGTGTGTGTGTTAGATTTAATAACTTCTCTAATACTTAGGCTAAGGTTAGGTAAGAGGAAGTATCAGGGTTTTATAAGTCATGGTACTAGGAAAATAGAACATCACGACTGTTTTCTCCCACCATTGGGATGACTATCAAAGGAAGTCTTGTGCCTGTCTTCTGTGATATTCAAGGACAAATAGGTGGGCAAAACCTTTGAGATTGTCTATAAGAAAATATTTTGGAAGAAACATAATAGTTTTTTCATCTGGGCTTCTCAGATTTTTTTTAACGCAGTGATTTTCTTCAATTTTAAAATTAACAATTATTTCATTAAAAGAATGAAATAAAATCTTATACCAATAGATTAAATACACCAATATTTTAAATACTTCAATCATTTTAACTAAGAATTACAGTATAGGCAAGACATAATTTTAGTATAGTTGTTAAATCAGTATGAATTGTCTGTATGGCTCTTTATACCTCTGTCATTTACTTAATCAACATACAAGTCCCGGACATTTAGTTGTGACAAAGTGTATATATGGTATATATTCCCTTAAGTAAGATTATCAGTCAAAGGGTATAATCATATTCAGGTGTCTAGATACACGTTGGTAAATTGATTCCCATTTATTCATTCAACAAATATTTATTGAATTCCTACATGAGCCTAGCACTAAATGTTTGTACCAGTTGCTGCTTCCTTGACCAAGCACTGTGTTCCTTTATGACTTTACAGAGCACTGTCAGGATATCCTGTTGTAGTACCTTTTTGAATCTTCCCACATGTAATAGTAGCAGGAGGTATCTCTTTGAGTTTTCCTTTCTCTAATTTCCTGGGATATTATGCATTTTCCCCCAATGATTTTAGGCATTAGACGCTTAAATTTTTCTAAAGACAATCCTGTAAACATATATTTTTAATATTTTTTATTTAGAGCAATTTAATGCATTAGAGTTACCTGATCTGATGCTAGCCTACATAATCCAGCAATCGAAAATTATATGAGATCATTTTATTGATTATAATGTCTTTAACCTTTATTACTTTAATAACCACCAAACACAGACTTTCACATTAATGATGTTTTAGAAATAATTTTAATTCAATGGGAAGATGATCACGGTACAATTCTAAGAGAAAAGGCAGGCTATAAAATTTTAGGTACAATATTATCTTAATATGTAAGTTTACATTATATAGCTATATATTCATATATACATTTATATCTGGAAAGAAATATGCTGAAATATTACCAACACTACCAATATATGGCTTTGACTCTGGGGATTTGGCTTCTTGTTATTTTTTTCTTCATTTGTCTTTGTGTTTTCAAAATTTATTATAATGGATGTGTATTCCTTTTATAATTAGAAAAAAAAGGCCATCTGAAAAAATAAAATAAGGGATGACTATTGAAACCTGGGTTTTCAGAATTCAGACTAACATTACTAATACATCAGACCTTGAAACTATTTAGAGCACATTCTTGATCTTTTAATATTTTTTAAAGACCTCTGTTCTGCAGATGTGATCACCATTTAAGTCATCTAATTCTCATATTTGGGAGCAAAAATCTATAAATAAGATGTATTTCTAATTGATTATAACGTCTTGTCTCAATAGCTATACTTTGATAGAAGTGGAGCCAGGGACACAGTTTGCCCTTGTAGGGAGCTAGAGGGAGTGTTGCGTTAACTGTCAGGCTAGCTTCTCCATGGTCATCTTGGAAAGTCCCTTAAACTCTCATTGTCTCTGGTTCCTCATTTGTAAAGTGAGGGTTAGACAAAGTGGCTTTTCTGGTCCCTTTAGATTCCAGTGATCTGTGATTCAACCTTGTCTCTCAGGCAATGGCTGTGTTTAATTACCAGTCATTTGTAGTCTGTTCTAGGCAACAAAACCACTGAGGCCAAGGGCCTTAACTGTGCATATGTATTTTTGATGTCTTTGCTTATTGGATATCACTCAAAGTTCTGAGAAAGAAAAACTTATTGGATATCACTCAAAGTTCTGAGAGAGAAAAGCTTAAATAGTCGATGACTATATTATGCTGTTAAATTAAAATGAGAAGATGCAAACCTGAAGAAAAAAATTTGTAAAAATGTAACTTTGATTTTAAAATATCGATGATAGGGATAAGGGACATACTGTTTAATATAAAATGCTATGTCTGTGTTTTAGGGGCTCTTTGTGTTTTGGCTTCTAAAAAATCCTAGAAAACACCGACTTTGTTTCCATTCAGTACATTCAATTTATACTGCATTATGATGGACAGCTGTCACTCACAATTTATCTGAACTGAATTTTGAGTGAAAGCGTTTTTTTTTTTTTTGTTAAAAAGCATTCAGTGGGAAGTTCTGTTTTCAGAAATGTTCTTTTGTGGCCTGATTACAAGGGTAGGTAGTTGTTTGATGAATTAACTATGGACTTATGATAAACAAGTTTGACCTCTAGGCTTTCTTAATGTTGTACTGTAACAATAGAATTCAAAGAGCTCATGAACTTGGTTGGGAAAAAAATTACAGCTTCATTTTCACCGATTTCTTTGTGAAAATTTAATCCAGTTGTGAATGTAGTTGATAAACCACAGTAGCATGAGCAGAAGTTGTGACTTTTCAGATCACACTATAGGTATTGCATATAACCTCAAAAGTATCATTTATGCTCATCACTACTTGGTAATTATGGCAGTTATTAGACCTGCTTTTCAATAATATTATTTAATAAGTAAATGAAGAAGCTTATTTATTACTTTGTTTGCTTTTTTAAATATATTTTGATTTTTTGATAGTTGTATTCTAATATAATTGGTTTCCATTGTAATACTAAGTATTTTATTTTATACGTTTAAAAAATACACTTATCAGTAGGGGTTCATAGGCTTCAAAAGTGGTCCAAAATGGTCCATAGCACACAGACAAAAAAGGTTACCTCATTTAAGATAATGGAACACGACTTCTTTTTCTGAGACTCTAATGCAACTGTTGACTTTGCTAGAGGGTTCCAAAAATCTAAAAATCTTTCAAAATATCTTATAAAATTGACCTGTTAAGTGACTCATTTTTAATGAGAATTTTAAAAAATTATTTATTTCCAAAAACTTTGAAAGTGTATATATGAAAGTGGGTAATGGCTTGAAATCAAGGACTTTTCAACCAGTTAAATGATGTGATTGTCATGACTCCATATTCAATGCTAAATTTTTGGAACAAGTCTTTGTAACACATTCAAGTGATCAACACTGAAAATATTGAAAAAAATTTTTTCTGAGAGTCTTTTGAAAAATTGATCTTTATTTAGAGGTAGTTCAACTGTCTTTCAATCACAATATTATTTTCACACAATTTTAATATGGCTTATCTCTAGGATGATCATAAATTTATCCTTCAAACAAAACACTCTGGAGAGTAATAGTGGGCACTAACCAGACAGGACATGCATTAACAAGAACTGTCTGGGGAAACAGGATGTGTGGTCAGCCTCTTATCTGTATCTTCAGCACTTTTAAAAGCTTGTATGCCTAAATATGAAGGTAATCCTATAAGCAGAACTAACTAAAGCCTGTAATTAAAGTCATGTATACTCTGTGCTTGTTTTCTCCTAACTTTACATGTTTACCATGAAAAGCTGCATGTAAATTATGTAAAGCTTTTTTCTTTTCATATTTAAAATAAATTATCAATGAATGTGAAGGAAAATTAAATATCTCACTAGCCCGAAGGTCTCAAACTTTCTTTGTTGATTCTACTCATTCTCGAAACATTAGGAGGGAGGCTAAAAGTCCCTTGAGGAAAAATGGCTAAGGTGAATAACTTATCAGTATGTTTTATAGACTTTCATTTTTAAAAAGATAGCACTGGGTAGATATCAAAAACAGGATAAAAGGGCTTCCCTGGTGGCGCAGTGGTTGAAAGCCCGCCTGCTGATGCAGGGGACACGAGTTCGTGCCCCGGTCCGGGAGGATCCCTCATGCCACCGAGCGGCTGGGCCCATGAGCCATGGCCGCTGAGACTGCGCTTCCGGAGCCTGTGCTCCGCAACGGGAGAGGCCACAACAGTGAGAGGCCCGCGTATCGAAAAAATAAAACAGGATAAAGAAGGAGCAAGTTGTTTGAAGACAGACACCAAAAACAACGGGAACTACGAACCTGGTGTTTTTCAATGTAATTTAATAAACTTGTTAAGTCTATAATCATTGTAAATGCTAGTGAAGGAATCCTGGCAGTAAAAATACTACAGGGAGATGGTTAGCAGATGCTATGTTGTTGAACTGTTAGATTTCTTGCTTCTATAAAAACACTGAGGCTCCCTGGAAAGTTATATGCACAATCATTATTTTAGATTTGGGTAAAAGAAGAAAATTGGAAAGAAAAATTAGAATGTCATATGATGTCTCAGTTAATAAGTATTTTTTTCTTTTTGTAAAAGCACATATTTTATTATTAGAGACATAGCACAACAACAAGTGGGAGAGCGCGCAGAGGAACAGTTTGCTTAGTTAAGACAGAAGCAAGGCAGAGATGCACACCCGGAGAGCAAGGGTGTGGGCATCCTCCCTAATGAGGAGGAGCCAGTAAGTGTTTATTGATCACTGGGTTGGTTCCCAGTAAAGTTCAGACTGTATTTTTTTGTCTGATTGAGAAGATAAGCATGCACCCGGTCTAAAACATAGTCCTAGAGTGGTAACAGGTTGTGAGGGTCCTCAAATGCCAGAGAAAACACAGTCAGAATGATACCACCAGTGGTTGAAAGACTTCTCATGATAAAACTTATGTATTTTATTTTATTATTTTTTTAAAATTTATTTTATTGAAGTATAGTTGATTTACAATGTTGTGTTCATTTCTGCTGTACAGCAACGTCATTCCGTTATACACATATATATATGTATATACACACATTCTTTTTCATATTCTTTTCCACTATGGTTTATCACAGGATATTGAACATAGTTCCCTGTGCTGTACAGTAGGACC